ACATGAGGCCAGGAGTTTGAGAACGGCCTGGCCAATGTGGCAAAACTCCGTCTCTACTAAAAATACAAAAATTAGCCAGGCGTGATGGTGTGCACCTGTAATCCCCGCTACTGGGGAGGCTGAGGCATAAGAATCACTTGAACCTGGGAGGTGGAGGTTGCAGTGAGCTGAGATCATGCTACTGCACTGCAGCTTGGGCAACAGAGCGAGACTCTGGCTCAAAAAACAAAAAAACAACAACAAAAACCAACAAAGCAGGAAACCAGTGCCATTAAGGGTATGAAAAAACACAAAATGTTTTCTCCTGCGGCCTCTCTCTTGACCTCTCATAGTGTTCTCCATGTGTTATTTAATGTTGCGCACCCTTGGGCATAGGGAGAATTGCCTGGCATGTACAGGCTGTCATAGGCATCTGGGGTCCTGCTGTGCGACGCCATGCACACATGGCCCATCAGCCTCTGAACAAATGCCTGGACCCAGCGGGGGCAGGAAGTCAGTCTTCCCCTTCCATGGACATGCTGCTCCTAACCATGCAGACAGGTGGCCCACAGGGATTGCAGCCTCTGTGCTGGAACATGTTTTATATCTGGATCAGGGGCGGGTGAGAGGCTCACCCCCACTGAACTGCCTGCCTGGTGTGCCATAGAGCTGCCAGCCTGGGTCAGGGGTAGCCACCGCCATGCCCCATCCTGAGCTACTATGAAGCGTGTGTGCCTGGCTCTAAATCCTCCTGATCTCTCATTCAGGCCTCTGCCATGTGTTAGAGAAGTGAGTGGCTCAGAAACTGGCCAGGAGAGGCAGGAAGGTGGTGGGAAGTGGTAATATGTCTCAGCTGAGGCTCCACGCCCCCTGGCATGTGCTCCAGTTGTCCCCTTGGACTTCACTTACAAAACACATATTCAAAGAGAAAATAATTATGCATGTTAAGATGATGACAGCAGAGTATTAAAACCCCAGCCCTGTATGACTTCACTGGTCACACGCCCTTGGAGCAAGCCCTGCCTGGCCATTTTCCTGAGACTTTTTGCAGTTTTAATAGCACTAAAAGTTCCAGGTCCCAGAAGTACCCTTAGTCCCAGGCAACTCAGGCTGGTTGGTCACCACACACCCAAAACAAGGCTACTCCCAGCCTAAATTCTTCTTCAGTGACCTTAGCTAGAATTTGACAACCTAGAAGGAAGCTATTAATTTTTGCATGCATGCACATTTGTGACATTTCCTTTTTTTTTTTTCTTTTTTTTCTTTTCTTGAGACTAGGTTTGCTCTTGTTGCCCAAGCTGGAGTGCAACGGCGAGATCTTGACTCACTGCAAACTCCACCTCCCGGGTTCAAGCGATTCTCCAGCCTCAGCCTCCCAAGTAGCTGGGACTACAGGCATGCGCCATCGTGCCAGGCTAATTTTGTATGTTTACTAGAAATGGGGTTTTTCCATGTTGCTCAGGCTGGTCTTGAACTCCCGACCTCAGGTGATCCACACGCCTCAGCCTCCCAAAGGGCTGGGATTACAGGCACGAGCCACCATGCCTGGCCCATTTGTGACATTTCAAGCGATATACATTTATTCTACATTTTATTCACACACACACATATCTGAGTAGGAGAAGGGGCTTAATCATCCCAGATCTTAGGACTGCTGAAGGTCTTCAGCCTGGTCCCCTGCAGGGTAGCTTCTGTGCCCTCCAGTGGTGGCTGAATTCACAAAAGGGGGCGAATCAATTCACACCCAGCTCTGCAGGAGTGGACATTTTTGCACACGTCCCTGAATCACTCCCAGAGGCCAGGAGCAATTGTACCAAAGAGAAGGTTCCCATACTGATAAATCCAGCCCTTCTCACAGGCGTCTGGTTGGGTGGAGCATGTTGGCTAGGGCTCAGGCCACCCCAGGTTCCTCTCCTATGGCTTGTAACCATGGGCAAGCCACATCATCTCACTGAGCCTCAGCTTCCTCTTCTATAAATGGGACTATCTTGCCTCATAGGCCAGAGGGAGGACTAAAGGAAGTCAGATGACTGGAGTGCCAGGACAGAGCCTGGCCTGCACTAGGTGCTTAATGAATACGAGCTTGATCTACGCAGATGGAACTTTTACAACAGTCCCACATTAAACCTGGCTAGCAGGATGGCTCTTGGCTGTCTCCAGGGCAAAGTGAAAAGACTCACTTTGGTGAGGAAGCTCATGAGTTTGTAGGTGCAGCTAGTAGACCTGACTTGCCCCCGCTGTGTGCCTCCTCTGCCTCCTAGGGCAGGGCTGGGCATGTGTCGGGGTTTAATACACGAATGTTGGACAAATGAGTGAAAGATAACTCTCTTTTATGAGTGCTTTCTAAGAGCCAGATGTGGCGCTGAGCAGTTCCATAAATCATCTCAGTTCTGTCCACAAAATCGTGAAGAAGGCCGGGTGCGGTGGCTCATGCCTGTGATCCCAGCACTTTGGGAGGCTGAGGCGGTATGATCACTTGAGTCCAGGAGCTTGAGACCAGCCTGGGCAACATAGTGAAACTCCATCTCTACAAAAATTAAAAAACTTTTAAAAATCGTGAAGAAAATATGATTATATCAATTTATAGACAATGAAATGGAGGCTCAGAGAGGGTAACTAACACTCCCCCACTGCCTAGGTCACACAGAAAATTCAAGGGAGAACTGAGATTGGAATCCAGGTGTGTCTGCTTCCAAAAAGTTGTGTTCCATTAACATTCTTTCCACTGGATATTCTGGCAGGAGCTGGGCTTCCTGTCATGGACGCTATGGTTTTGGGAGGAGATGCTTAGTTCACTCACACTAATAATGACCATGGCAGGCACATGCCCTGATCTGCTACAATTAATGTGTCTTGAAATTTTGAAGTCTTGAGTACACAGGCTTCTGCTTTGTTTTCTTCTTCTTCTTTTCCTTCTCCTCCTTCTTCCTCCTTCTTCCTCCTTCTCCTTCTTCCTTCCTCCTTCCTCCTTCTCCTCCTCTTCCTTCTTCTTTTCTTCTTCTTCTTCTTTCTTCTCCTTCTCCTTCTTCTCCTCCTTCTCCTTCTTCTCCTTCTTCTTCTCTTTTTTTTTCTTTGAGACAGTATTGCTCTTTACTCAGGGTGAAGTGCAGTGACACAATCATGCCTCACTGGAGCCTTGACCTCCTGGGCTCAAGTGATCGTCCCACCTCTCAGCCTTCCTGAGTAGCTGGGACTACAGGCTCTTCCACCATGCCTGGCTAATTTTTTGTTTGTTTGGTATTTTTTTTGTAGAGATGGAGTTTCGCCATGTTGCCCAGGCTGGTCTTCAACTCCTGGCCTCAACAAATTCTCCTGTCTTGGCCTCCAAAAGTGCTGTGATTACAGGCCTGAGCCAGGCATGTGCCTGGCTCATAGAATTATATAACGTGTAGTCTTTTGTATCTGACTTCTTTCACTTGGCCTGGGGTTTCCAACGTTCATTCATGGTGTAGCCTGTGTCAGCACTGCTTCTTATGCTGGACATTTCTTTGTATAGATGCATCGTATTTTATCTGTCAGTTGACAGACGTCTGGGTTGTTTCCACATTTTGGCCATTATGTATAATGTTGTTAGGAATATTCATGTACAAGTTTCTGTGTGTACATGTTTTCACTTCTCTTAGAAGTGGAATTGCTGGGTCATATAGTAATGCTTTTTTTTTTTTTTTTTTTTTTTTTTT